CTTGTTGTCTCGGATTCTCCAGCATCTGCAGTTCCTACTATCTCTGAATTTCTTGTGGTTAGTAGGGCAGGCAACATTGTTTTGTGCATCTGGGATATAGGGGCTGCTCGCAAGGGCAGCACTTTCTCAAGTCCATTTGCTTTTGAGAAGGATCAGCTGCTTCCTTGGACCACTGCAGTCCATATGCTGTGAGTATACCCATTGTATTGTTATGAAGGGAGCTCTAGGATTTTGACTCAATGAAATTCAAGCAAACATTTTTACATGTTTTAATACATAGCATTTGCATCAATTACTTGAAAGGACAGTGACTGCATAAGACTGGCTAATATTTTGTTTTAAAAATAATCATTGAATATTGCAGCCACCTTGAAGCTACTGACTGAAACTTCTCATCTTATCTAATAATGCTATACCTCTTCTGGTTTTCCTCTAAGGCTGCTATTTGAATACCAAATCAACATCACTACCTACACTCCTTACTCACACTTCAAAATTGATCTATTTTGAATCATTCATGATTGAATGCTACAAGCAATAGAGCCAGGGACTCCTGGTTGTAGGGCGAGTGCGGGTCCAGCACAGGACCTGGCATTGGTGAGGTGAGCCGAGCAATGAAGAGATGGCACCTAAAGAATGGCAACTCCTACATTGTTGGTACACGTAGGTGGCGGCGAGGCAGTGGAGGAGGAGTGGAGGTATAGTTGTCGTTGGTGAGCTGGCTCAGGGCTCAGGACTAATGGCAGAGGTGGTGGAACAAAGATAGACTCTCTTTCAGTTATATCTTTTTATTCTTAACTACTCAAAATGACGCCGGATAATGACAACAGTTGAAGCTTTTCACTGCATATTACTCTATCAGTCACTGTAAAATACAAGTGACAATAAATCATCATTCAAGTTCTTGTATTGGCATCAACCTCTGTCAAATTAGGTACCACACAGTCACAACCTTCTCCACTCTATTACAACAATATAACTCAGAAGTTAATAATTTACTACCTTATTCTGATCCTGTTCATAATTTCAGTCCCCTTGTCCATATGAAATTGCAACCGCATGCAAAATTGCCCCTTGTTTTTTCTTTACAGTATCCTTGCTTCCACTAGGGCCTCGTTGAGTGGAGGCTTGGCAAATCAAAATATGAAGATATGTACACAGGTCTCAGAGGTTCAAGAATAATATTTTAACCAATTCCTCATGCATTCTTGTTACTTTTTTTTTTCTGTGCTCTCTATCCCATCAGCAACATTCTCAAAGCTGGAAAATATTCTAACTCATAACTCAAATTACTTCAATTCCATCATGCTAGTTGATTGATTTTTTAAAAAATCAGTTATAAACAAATCAGGAACAAAAAACTAGTGTCATTATTGATGATCATGTAAGTACCAGATTTCCGTAAAAATGTGGTTCATTAATGCCCGTTTGGAAATTAAATCTGCTGCCCTTACGAGATCTGATCTGTATGTGGCTACACCCATCGCAATGTAAACAGAGGAATGGGCAAAGTGGCGACCCCAAAACAGGCAATCAGCATCACCTAGAGAGGGGAGTGTTCTGAGAAGGGGTAAACAACGTAAGAGGGGAGCAGACTTTAAACAGGACAAGAGGAGAGTCTGCATGAGGAGCGACCTCATAGCTTGGCTCTTACTTCTTTAGAGTGGAAGAAGCTAATTGGTGAGTACTGGAAAACTTTCTACTATTCTAATTGCAATAAATAGTTTTTAAAGTTATAGAATGGCAGGTCAGCTCAGTCAAGTGGAACGTACAATCTGTGGTATGCGTGAAGTCGTGGTATTTATTCATACTTCTGCCATTTCCTGGTTCCCTATTATTATTTCCCTGGCCTTGCACTATAAGAGGCCATTGTTCATCTTGTCTGCCTTTTCCTTTTTATATATTTAAACAAGCTCTTACTATTTGATCTTATGTTAATTGCTAGTTTGTCCTCATAGTTTATTTTCTCCCTTTTCTTCAGCCATCTACTGTTGGCTTTTAAACATCCCTGATCATCTGATTTACCACTAATCTTTGCCGTGTTATAATGTCTTTTTCAAGTTGTTGTTACCCTTAACTTTCAACTGTTTATCCCCATCTTAAAGTCCCATTTCCTCGCTGGGATATATCTAGGTTGTGAGTCATGAACAATTTTCTTAAATGATTGAGGAAAATGGCAATCATCTTTTGCTGCTAAACTCCTTTCCCAGTCTGCTTTAGCCAGCTCAGCACTCCATCCCTATAAAATCACCCAGTTTTGGAACAGTTGTTTCCAACCCAAGTTTCTCTCTGTCTTTGTGAGCGCTACATTCTGCAATGTTATGATCACAGTTTCCTGGGCGAGATTTTTTACATTGAGACATTTTTGAAACCTGCCTCATTAAACAGCAGCATCTCCAAAATGGCCTGATCCCTGGTTGAATCCACAACATATTACTCTGTAAAACTTTCCTGAAAATACTCTATGAATGTTTCCACATGGCTGTCTCTGCTAATTTGATTTTCCCTGGACACCACCCCAAGGCCTCCTACCCTCCCTCGACCTCTTCATCTCCAACTGCTGTCGCGACATCGATCGCCTCAACCTCTCCAACCCTCTCACCCACTCCAACCTCTCCCCTACAGAACGTGCAGACCTCCGCTCCAATCCCAACCTCACCATAAAACCCGCGGACAAGGGAGGCGCAGTTGTAGTATGGCACACTGACCTTTACATTGCCGAGGCCAGACGCCAGCTCTCTGACACCACCTCCTACCGACCTCTTGATCATGACCCCACCCCCGACCACCAAAACATCATCTCCCAAACCATCCACAACCTCATCACTTCAGGTGACCTCCCACCCACAGCCTCTAACCTCATCTTTCCCCAACGCCACACCACCCGTTTCCATCTCCTTCCCAAAATCCACAAACCTGACTGCTCTAGTCGACCCATTGTCTCCGCCTGTTCCTGCCCCACCGAACTTATCTCCACTTATCTCGACTCCATTTTCTCCCCCTTGGTCCAGGAACTCCCCACTGACGTCCGTGACACCATCCACGCCCTTCACCTCCTCCAAAACTTCCGATTCCCTGGTCCCGAACACCTCATCTTTACCATGGACGTCCAGTCCCTATACACCTGCATTCCCCATACAAATGGCCTAAAGGCCCTCCGCTTCTTCCTGTCCTGCAGGCTCGACCAGTCCCCCTCCACTGACACCCTCATCCGCTTAGCTGAACTCTTCCTCACCCTTAACAACTTCTCCTTCAATTCCTCCCACTTCCTACAGACAAAGGGGGTGGCCATGGGTACCCGCACGGGCCCGAGCTATGCCTGCCTCTTTGTAGGTTACGTAGAACAATCCCTCTTCCAAAGCTACACTGGCCCTATCCCCCACCTCTTCCTCCGTTACATTGATGACTGTATCGGCGCCGCCTCGTGCTCCCACGAGGAGCTCGAACAGTTCATCCACTTCACTAACACCTTCCACCCCAACCTTAAGTTCACCTGGACCATCTCTGATACCTCTCTCTCCTTCCTGGACCTCTCTGTCTCCATCTCTGGCATCCACCTGGAAACCGATATCCATTTCAAGCCCACCGACTCCCACAGCGGGCTAGAATACACCTCCTCTCACCCACCTTCCTGCAAAAAGGCCATCCCCTATTCCCAATTCCTTCGCTTCCGCCGCATCTGTTCCCGAGATGAGGCATTCCACTCCCAGATATCCCAGATGTCCTCGTTTTTCAAGGACCGCAACTTCCCCTCCACAGTGGTCGAAAACGCCCTCGACCTTGTCTCTCTCATTTCCCGCAACTCATCCCTCACACCCCCTACCCGCAATAACAACCAAAACAGAATCCCCCTTGTCCTCATGTACCATCCCACCAACCTCCGAATCCAACGCATCATCCTCCAACACTTCCGCCATCTGCAATCTGGCCCCACTACAAAAGACATTTTTCCCTCCCCACCCTTATCTGCTTTCCAAAGGGACCACTCTCTCTGTGACTCCCTTGTCCGCTCCATACTCCCCACCACCCCCGGTACTTTTCCCTGCAACCACAGCAAGTGCTACACCTGCCCCTACACCTCCCCCCTCACCCCTATCCCAGGCCCCAAGAAGACTTTCCACATCAAACAGATGTTCACCTGCACATCTGCTAATGTGGTATACAGTATCCGCCGTTCCCGTTGTGGCCTCCTCTACATCGGGAAACCAAGCAGAGGCTTCAGGACCGCTTTGTGGAACACCTACGCTCGGTTTGCAACAAACAACTACACCTCCCAGTCATGAACCATTTCAACTCCCCCTCCCACTCCTTGGATGACATGTCCATCCTGAGCCTCCTGCAGTGCCACAATGACGCCACCTGAAGGCTGCAGGAACTGCACCTCATATTCCGCTTGGGAACCCTGCAGCCCAATGGTATCAATGTGGACTTCACAAGCTTCAAAATCTCCCCTCCCCCGACCGCAACCCAAAACCAGCCCAGCTCGTCCCCGCCTCCCTAACCATTCCTCCCACCTCAAGCCCCACCCCCATCTCCTACCCACTAACCTCATCCCGCCTCCTTGATCTGTCCGTCCTCCCTGGACCGACCTATCCCCTCCCCAACTCCCCATCGACATTCACCTTTACTGGCTCCAACCCCGCCTCTTTGACCTGTCTGTCTCCTCTCTACCTACCTTCTCCTTTATCCATCTTCTATTTGCCTCACCCTCTCTCCCTATTTATTTCAGAATCCCCTTCCCCTCCCCCATTTCTGAAGAAGGGTCTCGACCCGAAATGTCAGCTTTCCTGCTCCTCTAATGCTGCTTGGCCTGCTGGGTTCATCCAGCTCTACACCTTGTTATCTCACCTTATTTCGCTTCTTGCCAGCGTTTTCAGAAGTTTATATACCCTTAAATGTTTAGTTCCCAGCTTTGATTTACCTGTAACAAAGTCTCTGTAATACCTAGAAGATCATACCCATCAGCTTATATTTATGCTGTTAATTCAGTTATTTTGTTGCAAACATCATACACATTTAAGTAAAGTGCCATTAACTTACATTTTTAACCTTTTGTAACCCCTTTGACCATATTTGCTGCTTTTTTAATGTCTGTAAACTTTATCCCTTTCCATCCCACTGGGTGTAATTATCAAACTAGTTGCCTCTGAAGTGCTGACAAATCTTTTTGCTTTATAGCCTACATATTCTCTCATTTGAACCCCTAACCTCCCACTCTAATTAGTTAGATGCAACGTTGAGCTGGTGCCATCTGGAACAGCATTCCTGTAAGATTTAGTACCATTTGATGAAGAATTAGGTACCTGTTCTATGGCTTCCCCTTCTATGCTGCCCACAATCTTCAGTCCATGTTTGTTTTTCAAGTGTCTGTTCAGTTCCCACTTGGTACCATAGACAAAACTGCATACTGGACACTTTACACCACCTGTGAAATAAAAAGGGAAAGAGGTCAGAAAGTCAGCTCAGAGCCAAACAGGATGCCGTTGTGAATAGCTTGGTTCAACAACAACAACATAAAAACAACTTATAGTTATACAGCATCTTCAACATATTAAAATGTATCAGGAGACTTATAAAGCAAAGGAAGGCTCTGAGCCACCTGAGGGGATATTAGGTCAAATACATTGTTGTAAAGAAGAAAAGCAAGGTTAAGAGAAGAGGTGTAGTGAACGTATTTCAGAACTTTGGATCCAGGCAACTGAAGGCATGCCCACCAATTATGCAGCGATTAAAGTTAGGGATGTATAAGAGTAGAGGAATGCAAATATTGTAGGGCTAATGGAGATTACTGGGTTAGGAGGATGCAAGGCAAAGAAGGGATTTGGAAATAAGGGTGACAATTTTAAAATCAAGATGTTGCTTGTTTGGGAATCAATGTATTTCAGCGAGGAAGGAGTGAAGAGGGACTGATGCAAGTTAAGACATGGACAGCAGAGTTTTGAAAGGTCTCAAGTTTCTGGAGAATTGAATGTGGGAGAGTGGAAGGAATGTATTGAAAAAGTCAAGACTAGAGGTAATGAAGACCTGAATGTGGGTTTCATTAGTAGACAAGATAAAAACAGGGGAAACGTCAGGTGGATGCTATGAAGGTATAAATAGGTAGGCTTGATGGTGATGAACATGATGGTGGAAGTTCATTTCAGGGTAAAATGTGACATCAATGATCAGCCTGAGTCACTACAGAGGAGCGGTCTGGAATCAGTGGCAAGAGTGTTGAGTTTCAGGCATTGGCTAAAGATGATGGCTTTGTCAGCTTTATTGATATTTAGCTGGTGGAAACTGTAGTTCATTCAAACTTGAATGCCAGAGAATCAGTCAGAAAATGCTGATGTAGTGAAGGGACTGTGACAAGTTATGCACTGTTACATGAAGCATGTATCATCACCTTGCCCTGGTCCAACAATTATAACGTTTTGCATTTGCACATTTGACATTAAGATGACAAAATTGTAAAAGCTGAGCTGAAGAGGAAAAGAGAAAGATCAAATATAAATGAAGTGAAGATTCTTGATGATGATGGTAAAAGGAGGAAAAAATTGAGGAGAGAATTTCAAAGAGTTTATTGGTTGAGTATGTGGCTATCAATGATAGAGCAGGAGGGAGTGAAGGAAGCTTGAAGTGAGAAGAGTAAAAAGCAGGGATAGAGTGCGCAGACAAATTAACTTTTGAGGTATAGCTGCTCTGTCACATCATAGTTTTTTGATGAAGGTTCATACTTAAAACATTGACATGTCTGTTCTCTCAACAGATAATGATGGACTTTTTGAGTGTTTCTAGCATTTTCTATTTATTCATGGATTTCCATCATCTGTAGCAATGTTTGTTTTTTGAAGATACAAGGTATTGTATGTCAGTCAACTGAACTTTTAAATAGCACCTTGCATCTGAGGGAACACATGATTTCCCAGAAAATGCTTCTGATTGTCAATTACTTTTGAAGTATAAACATGGCAGGTTTTTTTTTTATTTTGTAAGATGCCATACCGATTTAGGAATTGATGTTAACTATAAGTTGCATGCAATAATTCAAAACAAATCTCTTAATACCTTGCTGTGTCACACTCTCTTGAGCTAGTACACCAGTTCCAGCATTGACATATTCATCACTGGGATGTTTCTTGTGGTAATGTCTCTTCAGTGATCCAGCCATATTACAGGAATAGTGGCACAGTGCACATCGGAAAGGCTGAAGTAAATAAGGAGAACATTACTAATAACAGCAACTATATCAGTAACACAAAAACACTAAATAGGATCAGCATCTGCACCAATAATAGGGATATCTGCAACAGCTATACCAACAATAAGGACAGCGGCAATTTGTGCAGCAAAAATAGGGATAGCATGAACATCTGCACCAATAATTGGGACAGCAGTAACATTTGCACCAACAACAGGGAAAGCAGCAACATCTACACCATCAATAGGGATAGCAGCAACATCTGTATCAACAGTAGGGATAGCGGCAACATCTGCATCAACAATGGGGATAACAGCAACATCTGCATCAATAATAGGGATAGCAGCAACATCTGTATCAGCAGTAGGGATAGCTGCAACATATGCACCAACAATGGGAACAGCAGCAACATCTGCACTGACAATAGGGATAGTGTAAAGGTCTGCAGCAAAAACAGGGATAGCAGTAACATCTGCATCAACAACAAGGATAGCAGCAATGTCTGCACAATAGTAAGGATAGCAGCAATATCTGCACCAATAATAATAGGGATAGCAGCAAAATCTGCACCGACAATTGGGAATAACAGCAATATCTGCGCTGTCAACAGAATAACAGAAACATGTACACCAACAATTTAGGGAGGTGGCAGTATAGTGGTAAAGTCACTCAGGTAATGCAGAGACCCAGGCTCGTGTTCTGGATACTTGGGTTCAAATCTCTCCATTGCAGCTTGTGACATTTAAATTAATTAAAATCTGGAATTAAAAATTACTCTAATAGTGACCATGCAACTATTGTCAATTGTTATAAAAACCCATGTGGTTCACTTATGTCCTTTACGGAAGGAAATCTGCCACTTGGTCTGTTCTACATGTGACTCCAGGCCCACAGTGACATGGTTAATTCTTAACTGCCCTCTAAAATGGCTTTGAAAGCCAATCAATTCAAGGGCAGTTAGGGATGGGCAACAAATACCAGCCTTGCTAGCGACAACCACATCTCATACAACAATATAAATATGGATAATAGTGACATCTGTATCAACAATAAGGGATGGACCAATGTCTACACAAACAGCAGTGATAGGAGTAGAAACCACAAAAGAAACATGGAAAAACTGCATCTGGACTTTTTTTTAAAAAATCCATTCATAGGGTATGGGCATCTTAGCTAGACCATTTATTGCCCATCCTATTTGCCCAGAGGGCTAAGGGGAAGGTAAATTAGGTCGGTTATTTTGGTTGTCTGGGACATCACCACAGTTGTTTTAGAAGTTGCTAGGACCTCTAATCTTCATATTCTCCCACCCACCCGTGGCCACTCATATCATCCAAGCCAATTCATAATCCCCATCACCCCACCATTGTCCCACATGCCTACATATCTTGGATGCCAATTCAATGTTAGCATGATTGTACCCAATCCCTAAGGTCCTTTATATCCCCATTCAGTATCTATCATATGCAGACTGTGGGAGCCATATGAAGATGAAAAATAATAAACTTCTAAGAACTTAATATAGATCTCACTTCTACATATTTGACAAATGTCAAACTCATAAAAAAAATTAGTCAAAGCTTTCAAATCTCAAGTAATTAATCTCTTATTAAAAATAAAAGTTATATTTGGCCTCATTTCATAGATAGCTATTCCTTTGATATACTCTTAAATTGGAAGTTAAAATGTGAACCAGAATTTTCTGTTAGTCCAATTGTAGTTTTGAAACCCAGCCAAGCATTCAGAATAATATAATGACAGTCCTTGGAGAAATGTTAAGAAAAACTCTACTAAAAATGTTAATACTTTCTTCCAACTTATGCCTGTCAATTAAAGCAGTCTGGCAGAGGTTGTTTTTTTAAAAAAATAACTCACACTGCTAGTTGTAGCCCTTTGTTTTAAAGAGCAGAGCATTATAAAAAACTTCAGATCATTTTTGGTTGTACAGAACTCATCCATCATTCAAGGGCATTTATGTGACTCCCAAACTACTGGTTAAGACCCTTTCAACAGCAAAAATGTACTCTGTTAGAACTCAGCATAGAGTTAAATGGCTTTGTGGAATTCACATTTCCTCCTGTGTGAATCATGCTCTATCCTCTTTCCTTGCTGGCAAAAATTCAATTTGTTGCAAAAGGAGGAGGGACTTCTGTATCTGGCTTCTGTCCGTCATTTTTAAAGGATCCAGATTCTCCCAACTCCAGGTGTATCTGATCTGTTCAACCTCTCAGCCACAATCACAGTTCTATTTCTTTTTATACTTGGACTTTTTCATACTTTGTTTCATTTATGTTCCAAGTACAGTAAGTTACATGCTTTTTCTTTCCTAGAATTTTCATTGTTTGTCAGAAGCCTGGCCCAGAGCCGGTGGTGTGTTGGCAGGGTAACCCTGAGAATAACGTATAACTGTAGCTCAACATTTCACCATAGGTCTCATTTCAACAGTGGTGAGCTGCTGTCATCTGTTGCTTTTCCATGGGTTAATCTGCTCATCTTACAAAATAAATTTTGGGCTGCTTGACTTGTCGGCAGTTATGTGGTCCCAAACTTTGTCCTTAACACTCTCAATTTTCATCTGTTAAAGGTACAATTCCTATCCCAGATGTGCTCTATTTTAATTAATTATTTTCAAAAAGTCAACACTCATGCAAGTTACTACAACCTTAAGACCCGCTGCTCTCATACAACCTTTGCTAAATTAGTTTGGCATTATCGAACTATTGTTTTATGATTATATTTTACCTATGACTATTTTCAAACTGAGGTGTATTCTGCATGATGAAATATGATTCCCTAAAAAATAGATTTTCCCATCAGAAGTGGAAATCTGGAGAAAGAACCAATCTTGTATCATATTCCTGCCTCTGCTGCCTACAGGATGCAGATTTTTTGTGAGCTTAGGCTCTTGATAACCCTAGGGATACACAATTAGTAGCTGTGTGGTCATGGAGATAGGTCAGCAGGGAAGTGAGCGATTTTCTAGTCTGAATTGGTAGCCATTGCCGTGGCTTCCGCCTCTGCATGGCGATTCAAGAAAACAAAAGGATTTCTGCATTCACAGAGATTAGGACAAGTAGCCTGGACCTAGTTGACGGTAGTGGATTGTTGAGTACTAAAGCTTCCACTACTCCTCAGTATTTTTACATTTAAAACATTCACTTGTTCACTAAATAACAACTATAGACCATTTAGCCTGGCATTTTAGGTGGTCAAGCTGTTGGAGGGTAATCTGAGGGACAGGATCTACATGTATTTGGAAAGGCAAGGACTGATTAAGGATCGTCAACAAGGCTTTGTGCGTGGGAAATCGTGGCTCACTTACTTGATTGAGATTTTTAAAGAAGTATCGAAGAGGATTGATGAGGGCAGAGCGGTAGACATGATCTATATGGACTTCAGTATGATGTTCCTCATTGTAGACTGGTTAGCAAGGTAAGATCACATTGAATACAGGGAGAACAAGCTATACGGATATAGAACTGGCTTGACGGTAGAAGACAGAGGGTGGTGGTGAAGGATTGTTTTTCAGACTGGAGGTCTGTGGCCAGTGGTGTGCCACAAGGTTCGGTTCTGGGTCCACTGCTTCTCGTCATACATATAAATGATTTGGATGTGAACAAACGAGATATGGTTAGTAATTTTGCAGATGACACTAAAATTGGAGGTGTAGTGGACAGCAAAGAAGGTTACCTCAGAGTAAAGCAGGATCTTGATTAGATCGGTCAATGGGCCAAGGAGTGGCAGAAGGAGTTTAATTTAGCTAAACGAGGTGCTGCATTTTGGAAAGGCAAATCAGGAAGGGACTTTTAAATTTAAAGGTAAGGCCCTGGGAGTGTTGCTGAACAAAGAGACCTTGAAATGCAGTTTCATAGTTCCTTGAAAGTGGAGTCGCAGATAGATAGGGTAGTGAAGAAGGTGTTTGGTATGCTTGCCTTTATTGGTCAGAGCATTGAGTATAAGAATTGGGAGGTCACGTTTCAGCTGTACAGGACATTGGTTAAGACATTGGAGAGACTGAATAGACTAGAGCTATTTTCCCTGGAGCGTCAGAGTCTGACGGGTGACCTTATAGAGGTTTATAAAGTCATGAGGGCCATGGATAGGATAAATAGACAAGGTCTTTTCCCTGAGGTGGGTGGACGGCATTGGTTTAAGGTGAGAGGCAAAAGGTTTAAAAGGGACATAAGGGTTAACTTTGTCACACAGAGGGTGGTGTGTGTAGAGAATGAGCAGTCAGAAGAAGTGGTGGAGTCTTGTACAGTTACAACATTTATAAGGCATCTGGATGGATATATGAATAGGAAAGATTTAGTGGGCTATGGGTTAAATACTAGCAAATGGGACTAGCTCTATTTCGGATAACTGTTTGGCATCGATGAGTTAGACCAAAGGATCTGTTTCTGTGCTGTATACCTCTGTGACTCTATAAAATTGTATGTGCTGTTTCTGACCTGTTCTTGTCAAGTTGCAGATTGTCAGCTTCAGAGTGCTTCTAGAGGCTGACCAGCTTCATAAAAATCTTGAAGGTTCAATAAATGAGCTCTATCAAGATCCCTAATGACCTTAAGCTACCCAGTTAATGAGACAAGCAACTTCATATTTCCATCTTTTCCCATAAGACCATAAGACATAGGAGCAGAAATTAGGCCATTCAGCCCATCGAGTCTTGGCTGCCATTCAATCATGGCTGATAACTTTCTCAACCCCATTCTCCTGCTTTCTCCCCATAACCCTTGACCCACTTGACAATCAAGAACCAATCTATCTCCGTCTTAAATATACTCAATGACCTGGCCTCCACAGCCTTCTGTGGCAGTGAATTTCATAGGTTCACCACTCTCTGGCTGAAGAAGTTTCTCCTTATCTCCGTTCTAAAAGGTCTTCCCTTTACTCTGAAGCTGGGCCCTCAGGTCCTAGTCTCTCCTACCAATGGAAACAACTTCCCAACATTCACTTTGTTCAGGCCATTCAGTATTCTGTAAGTTTCAATTCAATCCTGTCCTTGTCCTTCTAAACTCCATGAGTATAGACCCAGATCCTCAAACGTTCCTCATATGTTAAGCTTTTCATTCCTGGGACCATTCTCGTGAACCTCCTTTGAACCTGCTCTAGGGCCAGTACATCTTTCCTGAGATATGGGACCCAAAACTGCGCACAATTTTTCAGATCAGTCTACTGCCCTGCCCCTGTCCTTCGTAAAGTCAGGGGAGTTAGGCAAGTTAGGAATGGGGGAAGCAGATCAGCATGCAGGACATATTTCTTTTCTTTTCCACCTTTGTTACTTCCTGAGTGGAGATAGAAAGTCTCAAGTTCTGCCAAGTATAACGGCAATCATTATATCAAGAGTAACAGCAACAAATGCAACGTTACTATGCTTTCTTCAAAAAAATATACCTCACAATTACTGTTACACCCCTTTAGTTTAGGGCCATAAATCAATAGGTTTCTTTGATGTTAGCATCAGGCATGATGCTGAACCAAAGAGCAATAGGACAAGGATCTGGCCATAGCGATCTCCTGTTTCTGATCATTCTATTGTAAGTAGTTGCTGAATACTCATGGGGCTCACCATAAGAAAAGACAGCACACTACAGGCCCTTCCAGGTCTCTTTGACTTGCTTCTTGGATTGGAGAAGCTTTCCTTTTAAAGAAAGACGTGCAATGGCGGTTCAGTCAATAATTCACGTGGGGTGAGATTGCACAGCCTTCAAACACATATGAAATGCACCTTCATTCACAAACTTCTTGACAGTCACTGATAATACTGTTCATCAACCACTTTATTTACTAGCGATGATTCTACATCCTGATTGATAACCTTGGTTAGGTTCCCTGATAATAGCCTCCACTGAAAGTAATGCCAAACTATCAAAGTTTGTACAGTAAGCATCTCATAAGATTTTATTCCAGGCAAATAATTCTTGCCTTGAAAGCAGCATGCTGTTCCATATGTCGAAGGAGGTTTGGCTTTTGTGCAGCGGTGTAATCACATACTGTACATTTATATTGTTTACCTGCAGGGTAAGAAAATAACTAGTATGAGGAAGGAAATATCATCAATAACTGTTGCAGTGAAATTACCATGCAGAAAATGGTGTGTATAAATGATGCTTATCTACTCAATAATAAAAAACAATAGAAATGAACACAGAGTCAAGTAATGTAATTGCTTAAAATAGTTTTCAGCTGTAGCAATGCAAGTCAAGCAAATAAAAATAATTTGAAATACAGGTAAATGTTTATTAATGGAAACAAATTGTTTAACATCTGAGGCATAGAGTGTAATCACAGATTGCAAAATAAATTTTAACAGACCATAAGATCATAAGATATAGAAGTAGAATTAGTGCGGGTTCATTGAGTTTGCTGTGCCATTTGATCATGGCTGGTATGTTTCTCAAACCCGTTCTCCTGCCTTCTTCCCATAATCTTTGATCCTCTTACTAATCAAGAACCTATCTATGTTTAATAGTATGGTTATAAACTGGTACGCATTGAATCCATTATTCTATTCTAATATTCAAACTATGCAGAGTGCCAAACTAGTGTAGATGGCCTCTGTCTAATCTGCCATAGTGCTTTTTTATTCCCAGTTCTTGGTAAATGCCTGGATGAGGCTTTAAATCATATATGTGTAAGTTAATGGATTAATACCTGTTTAATACCAGTGAAACAAGTTGCTGGTCGTGGGATAGGAAACAAGATTCCTCAGTAGATCCCATGGGCACTGATTTCAGTTAAATTCAGAAACAAAAAGCCCTCCTCTCTGGACATACCAAGGGTAGTAATGATGACCCAAAATTGATACTTGCTTGGAGGAGCTGCATGTGGAGGCACATCCACCGATGGCAGTTCACATAAACTACACTAATACAAATTGATCTTTTAAAGTCTTGGCTTATTGTAAGCCGAGATATCTAAATTGAGGTATTTTTGGCTGCCAAATAACGTTACATTTGAGCACTCAATACAACTTGGCAGTGACCTCATTGATTCAGAGACACCAGACTGTAAAAGGTTCTGCTGTGTAACATAACTCACCATCAGCAGTGTGCAACAGCTTATGACTCTTCAGACTGCCCTTTGATTTGAATTTCTTTCCACACAAATCACAGAGGTGTGTCTTCTCAGTGCTGTGACGATTCATGTGAGCTCTCAAATTGCTCTTACTGCGTGTGGCATACTCACAAACTGAACACTTGAATGGCTTCACCCCTGGAAATGAGAAAAAATATAAGCACCATTTAATACCTGTGCCAAATAAAGTGAAATATAAAACTCACAAATTTTCCATATTTATTCACATGCTCAAAGACAATCTTGTTTGCCAGCCAAAGGTCCTTCAACTTGGATATCACGGGCTTACATTGGACCAAGACGTTAGAACATCAGTTTGCATTAGCATATTTAGTGTAAAATGACATCAGTGGTTGTGCCTCCATATGCATGTGCATACCACAATACACATACTATTTCTCCAACAAAATCACTATTTTCTAGTAATTTTAATAAAAAAATGTTTTGAAGCTTTTTGATTTGATTCTTTTATGCCACTATGTTACTTCATTAGATGAACACAACATTAGCAGTTTTTAAAACATGTATAAAACAAGCCTGTGCTGAAAACTCACTTAAGTAGAAGGTGTCTGTCAATGCAATTAATGATGCCAGTAAACATGCAATAAATCTCTCTGACTACATACTTAGACCACAAGTTGTTTGTGTACGGTTTCAGTATTGGCGGGGCTTCATCCCGCATCAAATGAGAAGAGTCTGAATTCTTCTACTGCCACTACCTCACCACAAACCAATTTCCACTGGACAGGCTGAATTCTTGAAAGCATGCCCAGATGATCTAGTGGGATTCTAAATAATTTGTTTGAAATACATGCAGTGTGTATGTCTGGCAATGTTTTAAGGCCTCAAGGGCAATGTGGACTTACTTATCAGTAAACCCAACAAAAGGGTTGGAACACTAATCCTGAACAAACATGACTACATCAACATAATGCATGCACTCCTTAATGATGGGTCCAAATTTGCATTCATTGGATTTGCTACTATGGAGTGATCGGACAGCCCTACAAGAATTCTTGGTGATCTTCTAAAAGAGTAATGAGTTGTTAGGTGATATTTATGATAGGGTACGTCCTCACAACTCACGTCCATGTATGTATGGGCTGCCAAGACACACAAAAGTGATGTCATCTTCTCATATTATCTTAGCTATTACTGGTTCTGCACTACCTGAATTGGGCAAATGATTGGTTGAATTGCTACAACTATGTTCCACATAGATGGTGAAGGATTCCTTCATGTTTTTCGGGCTGTTGCGGGACAGTATTAACGTCCCTATCTCTGAGTCAGAAGGCTGAGGTTCAACTCCCACTTAACCCGGAGAGATAACACATCTGAACAAGCTGATTAAAACAAATTATTCACAATGGTGTACAGTACTAACACAGCAGTGGAGATAATGCAAAAGATATTGCCTAGATTAGCTATAAGAAGAGATTGGACAACTTGGGTTGTTTTTGTTAGACTGTTGGAGGTTGAGAAATGTATAAAATTATGAGAGGCATGGCTAGAATGGAGCTCAGAACAGTTCTGAAGGAGGGCCACTGGACCTGAAACATTAATTCTGTTTTCTCTCCACAGATGCTGCTAGACCTGCTGAGTTTTCATAACAATTTCTGTTCTTGTTTCTGGTTTTCAGGGTCCGCAGTTCTTTGTTTTTTGACCAATGGATACAAGTCTAGCTAGGCCTTTTCTCATGACAGAACCCACCCGTTCTAGGTATTAATCCGGTAAGCTTCCTCTTAACTGCTTCTAATGTATTTCATCCTTCCTTAAAATAAGGTGACAAATACCATACACTATTCCAGAACAAATGATTCATTACCTAGTTTTGCCCCTTGCAATAAACAGTAACACTTTATCAGCTTTCCTGATTATTTGCTATACATGCATATTCACCTTTTGCAACTTACGTACTTGGAACACCCAGATCTCTCTGCATCCAAGAACTTCACAATATCTCACCATTTAAATAAAATGCTTCTTTTAGATTCTTCTCACCAGAATGGATATCCATTCTCCCATATTATAAACACAGATCTCTGCTCACTCACTTAACTTATGTATTTTTGTTGTCTCCTTATGTCCGCTTCACATCCTAATTGTCTACTTATTTTTCAGTCAACAGCAAAGTTAGCAACCATGCTTTCCAGTCCTTCATCCAATTCATGAATATAAATTGTAAACAGTTGAGGTCCCAGCATGGATCCCTGTGGCAATCTACTCGTTGTATCTTGTCAACTTGAAAAAGACTGATCTATACCATTCTTTGCTTCCTGTTACGAGAAAATCTTCCAGCATGCTAAAATGCTCTCCCTGAAAACACAAGTTTTTATTTCTGCAATAACCTTTGATGTGGCACTTTACCAAATACATTCTGGAAATCTAAGTACAGTACACCCATAGCACACGCTAATTCCTCAAAGGATTCCAATAGATCAGTTAAGTATGATTTTCCAACAACATAGAAAACTATGTCGAATCTGCCCGACTACCTTGAACTTCTCTAAGTACCCTGGCATAACTTCTTTAATAAGAGCTTCTACATTTTCCCTGTGACTGATTTGAAGATTACTAGCATGTAGTTTCCTCCTTTCTGTCACCCTCCATTTTTGAATAATGGAGTTACATTTGCTCTACTCCATCCTAATGGGACCTTCCCCAAAACAAGGACCATGCCTAAAAAGATTGTGTCTTTTTATTTCTGTGATTGTTAAAACTATGGAATTAAAACGTTTTGAAAAACCTTTTTTTAAAATTGATTCATAGATGTAAGAGTTGCTAGCTGGGTCAGGAGTAATGCCTATCCCGAGTTGCCCTTTAGAATGTGGTGAGAGACCTTCTTAAACCACTGCAGTCCATGTTCTGTAAGTAGACCCACAATGCTGTTAAGTAGGGAGCTCATAGGCTTTGACCCATTGACACTGAAGTAATGACAATATATTTTCAAGTCTGGATGGTAATGGCTTGCACAGAAACTTGCAGGTGGTGGCGTTCCCATGTATTTGCTGCCCTTGTCTTTCTGGATGGAAGTGGCCATGGGTTTGGAAGGTGTTGTCTAAGGAACCTTGCTGAATTTCTGCAGTGCATCTTGTGAACTGCATACCCTGTTGTTACTGAGTGTCAGTGGTGGAAGGAGTGGATGTTTGTGAATGTGGTATCAATCAAACTGGATCCTGCACGGTATCAAGCTTCTTGACTGTGGCTGGAGCTACATTCATCCAGGCAAGTCAGAATATTCCATCACACTCTTGACTTGTGCCTTGTAGATGGTGAACAGGAACTGGGGAGTCAGGAGATGAGCTACTTCCTCCAGTATGCCTAGTTTCTGGCTTGGTTTTGTAGCCATTGTATTTATATTGAGTCATAGAGTCATAGAGATGTACAGCATGCAACCAGACCCTTCACCTCATCCATGCCAACCAGCTATCCTATACAAATCTAGTCCCATTTTCCAGCATTTGGCCCATATCCCTCTAAACCCTTCCTATTCATATACCCACCCAGATGCCTTTTAAATGTCGTAATCGTACCAGCTGCCACCACTTCCTCTGACAGCTCATTCAATACATGCACCACCCTCTGTGTGCAAAAGTTGCCCTTTAGGTCCCTTTTATATCTTTCTGCTCTCACCTTAAACCTATGCCCTCTAGTTTTGGACTCCCCCACCCTGGGGAAAAGACCTTGCCTACTTACCTTTTCCATGCTCCTCAAGATCTTATCAACCTCTATAAAGTCACTCCTCAGCCTCCAACACTGCAGGGAGAATAGCCCCACCCTATTCAGTCTCTCCTCATAACTCAAATCCTCCAACCCTGGCAACATCCTCGTAAATCTTTTCTGAACCCTTTCAAGTTTCACAACATCCTTCCTATAGCAGGGAGATCAGAATTGCACGCAATACTCCAAAAGTGGCCGAACCAATGTTCCGTACAGTCACAACATGACCTCACAACTTCTATACTCAATGAACTGACCAATAAAGGCAAGCACACCAAATGCCTTCTTCACTATCCTATCTATCTGCGACTCTACTTTCAAGGAAGTATGAACCTACACTCCAAGGTCTTTGTTCAGCAAAAATCCCCAGGACCTTACCATTAGGTGTAAAAGTCCTTTCCTGATTTGCCTTTCCAAAATGCAGCACCTCACATTTATCTAAATTAAACTCCATCTGCCCCATTGGCCAATCTGATCAAGATCCCATTGTACTCTGAAGTAGCCTTCTTCGCTGTCCACTACAACTTCAATTTTGGTGTCATCTGCATACTAACCATACCTTCTATTTTTGCATCCAAATTACTTATATAAAAAAGCAGTGGACCCAGCACTGATCCTTGTAGCACACCGCTGGTCACAGGCCTCCAGTCTGAAAAACAACTCTCCACCACCACCCTCTGACTTCTACTTTTCAGCCAGTTCTGTATCCAGATAGCTAGTTCTCCTTGCATTCCATATGATCTAACCTCGCTAACCAGTCTACTATGAGGAACCTTGTCAAACACCTTAATGAAGTCCATATAGATCATGTCCATGTCTCTGCTCTCATCAATCCCCTTTGTTGGCTAATCCACTTCAGTTTCCGGTCAGTGGTAGACCCTGGGATATTGATAGTGGCAGATTCAGTGATG